GACGTCAACATGAAAGACTACATTTCTACACTTAAACAGTTTTCTAAAGTGGATTTTCAATTGAAGATCTATATATATATATATATATATATATATATATATATATATACTGCTCAAAAAAATAAAGGGAACATTTCACTTTAATTTTGTGTGTGGCTCCAAAGCCAGGCCTCCAGTGGTTAATAAATTTGATTTCCATTGATGATTTTTGTGTGATTTTGTTGTCAGCACATTCAACTTTGTACAGAACAAAGTATTCAATGAGAATATTTCATTCATTCAGATCTAGGATGTGTTATTTGAGTGTTCCCTTTATTTTTTTGAGCAATGTATTATTCACCAATTAGTGTGTATACAATAAACATGACAAACTGAAAAAAAGCAAGAAGGGCTATTGATCTACAAAATAATTGACCAGATAATAGAATGAGTAACAGCAATAAAATAAAATAACCAAACTAAGCAAACAAGGAGATATACATTAAAATTGCAGTTGTCGATAAGATCGGTGGACCAGATCTGCTTCACACTGAAGCGTTGACCGATCTCCCAAAAGTAAGGAAACTGAGCCGATGTTTATATGTCAACATGCTGCTTATTATTTAATCTTTAATGTAATCTTATAGTACTTATTGTGTTGAAGATATTTCAATGTAAAATTATTTATTTGAAATGAAGTACATTTTTGGAAAAGAAAAGATGCTTCATAAGACAGGTTGTCGATGAACTTAAAACTTAAAACGATTTCAAGGATGTTGCCTTTAAATTCATGGTGCGTGTGGTGGCAAGGAGTGTGAGTGCTCTGTTTGGTCTTCCTGCAGGCTTGGCACACACACGATGAAGCTCCTCCACGCTCTCAGAGGACAAGAGAAAGGCGGCCGGGGATGAAACCCAAGCAGGAGCTGAGGGAGGTCTGGTGATTAAGGGGCTGCTTGGAAACCAGGAGTGGACTGGAAGTGGGCAAGAGGGAAGAAATGGGACAGGGCAGGAAGTGTGAACGGGTATCGGTGGCAGGACATGTGAGAGGGGAGGGGAGAGGACGGGGGGTACGGGTGGGGGTGACTGGAGAGGTGAGGTCACATGGGCGGATCAGGTTAGAGTGGAGGGAGGGAGGGAGGGAGACGTGACAGGAGGTGTCCCCAAAGTACACAGCCCAAAGCGGTCTCCTGCAGCTGGACACGGGCCAGGAAAACTGTGCCTGGGTACATCGTGTTCGCTCTCTCGTTTCTCCCTCGACCACACACACACACACACACACACACATATACATGCAACGGCACACGGGGGCCGGCGAGCCAACACTCCCACGCTCAAATTTGTTCTGAATTTCTGAGACATATTGACACACATAACAGCCTAAACACAGAAAACAATCTGCTAACCTGCACTGACACCAGTACACACACACACACACACACACACACACACACACACACACACACACACACAAGCAATGAGTGTTTGCTTCATGTAAACTGGAACTAAAGAATATTTCTATTTCTACAGATAATCTGCTCAGTGTTCATTTACATCACAAGATGTGATGGGAAGGAACTGCAGCAGATCTGAGTGTGGTGGGAAATGATTCCTGTTAAAGGAACAATACACGATTCAGGAGCTCACAAAGCAGGCGCTGGAAGCCTCGGCGTTCTCATTCCTGTCTGTGTTGTCCTTTCTTTTACTATCTGAAGGTTGGGAAAACAAATAAAAAGAAAAGCTTTAAAGGGATCGTTTTTCCAGAGAGATTTGTTTTGCAGCTTACTAGAACTAATCATAAAATATCTGCACCTTTAAGAAATGTTTGAAGAGTGTTGGAAAAAAAGGATTCACACCCCTTGGACTTTTTCATAATTTGTCAGGTTGTAACCACAAACTTTGACATATTTTGTTGGAATTGTACATGACAGACCAACAGAAAGTAGTGCATAGTTCTTTAAGTGAAAGGAAATTGTTACACAGTTTTTGAGAGTTTCAGCAAAAAAACAAAACAAAAAAACAAAAACAAAACTGTTAAACAGGTTGTACTATTTATTCTACACACTGCATGAGACACAGAATCTTACGGAGTGTTTTTGGTCTGGTTTCCAGTGAAAATATCTTGGTGCACTTGAAATATAAGTATAAGTTAACTTATAAGTAGCTTTTCAGCAAGAAATAGGAGTTTGTTTAAAGTCAATAATTCCTTAATAAAAATGAAAAAAATTAGTTCAACTGGCAGATTATTTGACTTTTAATTATTTCTTTTTCAACAATATTAAAGAATTATTGACTTAAAATAAGCTTCTACATGCTACTTAAGTATGTGAAACCATACGTAAAACTAACTTATAACTTTACGTAACATGTTATGTAAAACTAAGTTATAAGTTAGTCTGACCTAGGGCTGAAAAACACATTGCGATAAGGATTTTATATCAGTCAATATCAATAACTACTGAATAGTTTTATTGTAAAACATCTGAAATTCTGCCAAACAGCTGATGTGACCATTTGTGTTTCATCCTCAGCTTCCTCTCAAGTCGTTGTTCTCATTTTCCCCGGTGACACCGCGCCACTGTTCTTAATTTTTAAGCACTTCTGAGGCAGGATGCGGCAAAACCTGAAACTGCTGCTGCACAGGTTACTCAACGGGTTGTTGCTGGGTAACCAAAGAGAGAGCGAGTTGCTAGGTAACCAAAGAGTAAGTGAGTTAGTTGATGCCACCAACCTTGCTTAGCTAGCCGTGAGCGGTTGAGCAGCCAGAGCGTTTCTTCTGCCTACATCTCCCAGAATGCAATGTGGTTCAGTGAAATTACAGAACATTCTAGACGTGCTATTCATTGATACTGATCACGTGCCTATCACATTATATATTGTTATTGACTTACTGTCCAGGTTGTCCAAAGGCAACAATAATCAGAATATAAGCAATATATAAAGAATAAAAAATAATAAAGACGCCATTGTTACACGGCCAAGGTTGGAATCGGATTATTGCCTAATAACCTGAAAGTCCTACTGCTTCTAAAACAAACATCTGTAGTTCATACTGTAAATATTGTAGTTTATTTTACCAAACAGAATAAACTAGGTTCATCCCCTCCTTAGGTTGATCCAGGCCTGCAGGGAATTAAGATCTTTTCTTTTCTGCAGAGGTAAAGGAAACCCAGCACTGGAACATTCCACTCTTGATGTAATGTGATGAAGATATTTGCGTAAAAAGGCAGGAGATAAAGGAAGGCTTTGTTCTGTAAAGTCGGCTGTCAGACACCATCTGAGCTGATGCCACAACACTCCTCCTCCCAACCCCTTCATCCTTCCCCCCCACCTTCCCCAATGTGAGGTCGTGAACCCTCCAGAGCTATACCTGATGAATCCTCGATAAGCTTGTCGGCAAAATGGAAAACAGAACATTTACCGAACCTGAGAGGAAGCCTCTGCAGCAGCAACAACGTGAGCTCTGTGAGCAGAGCAGGGGGGCGAACATGCAGACTTACTGGGATGAGTTGTCTGCATGAATACAGATTGGCACGGCGATAAAACAAGATTAGATGAGTCACTGCCTTTTCATGTAGCTCGTCAGGCTTTCTCAAGGTTTAAGGTCTGTCTCCGGGGAGCCTGCCAATGTGAATCTCCTTTCTTTTTTCCTTTTTTCCGCCCCAGAGTCTCTTAAGATAACCTTCAGGCTAAACTGCTGTTCTGAAGTCCTCTGACTCTGAATGCAATTCTCCTGTGCATTTATTCCAGCTGCTCCACAGCGGTGGACGCTAATGGCTGCTCACGCGTACAGGCTTCAGTACATGATGTTCTTTCATGAGGCTGGACGTGTCTGTGGCCGGAGCGGGTTTAACCTTCACAATGTGACATACACTGTGAGCCTTTCTTCAGAGTTTAAAGGAGCAGATCAAGCAAAAAAGAAAAGGGGAGGGAAGATAAGGGGGAGAAAATGCAACAAAAATAATTAATTCTAATATATTTTTTTAATCATTTTTAAAAAAATCATAAAATCTAATTTGTTTCTCAACCATTATCATACAGCATAAGTTAAAATACTTTATAGAAATGCTATTTGCCATGCTCATCTTTCTGACTGGCTGCAAGTCAGATTTATCAACGCTTTGATCTCAAGCTGGCATAGCATAGCTAACTAAAATTGGCATGCATGGGGCACCATGTATGATAAATAAATGAAATAAGTATTGAATAGAGAATGAAAGTGAGAAAAATATTCTACAAGTTTCTTTACATATTTTGGAGCATCTTGTCTGTGGGCTTCCAGAGGCGATACCTGGCCAGAAGCTAACGCTGTTAACTTCCATGTTAGCCCAGAAGCTAATGCTGTTAACTTCCGTGTTAGCCCAGAAGCTAATGCTGTTAACTTCCGTGTTAGCCCAGAAGCTAATGCTGTTAACTTCTGTGTTAGCCCAGAAACTAATGCTGTTAACTTCCGTGTTAGCCCAGAAGCTAACGCTGTTAATTTATTTTGTGGAACAGCTTACAAAATACTACAAATATTTCCAATGTTAGTTTAGTTTAGTTTAGAATTGAAATTTATCAAGACAGCGATAACTCGAAATTCTTATCATGACAAGAAATGTTCACAATAAATGATAAACGATACAATAAATTCTCACCCTAGTTCACCTAATGTATAAAAAAACATTCAAAATGCAGGAATAGTTTCACAGGCAACTGTAACAGGGAAAAAAAAATGCAGAAACCGATATTTGCTAAAATGTTTGTGTGTGTATTTCAAAGAGAACAGCTGATGAATATAAGCTCAGCAAAAGGCAAACACACACACACACACACACACACACACACACACACACACACACACACACACTTAGCAGCTCCTGATGATTCACTCAACTCCCCCTCACCCCCATGCTATATTTGGAATTATCTCCAGGCTTCAACTAAACATCAGATTGTGCATGTGTGTGTGTGTGTGTGTGTTGGGGACATGATTACATTCACAGCTGGGGAACAATTGCTGCTGTTGCCGTCACGCAGAGAGCGTGACATCAGCGGCCTCACGTCAGCGCCGGTGTTCTCTCTGCTCGCTTTGAGCGGTGGAATATTTGTCGGGACGCCGAGCGCCTGGACTCCGTCAGCAGCACCTTGGGCTTCCTGTCTGGACGACTGGAAGAAATAAAACAGGTTTCTGATTGCACCGCACGGATTTTTAATCCAACAGCCACAATGTAGGTTGAAGTGCCAAAATAAGCAACTGCCAATGTCCGGTCTAAATTTCACCTGTATTCAAGGAAAGAGGAAAGAGTTTTATTTTTAACACCTGCCTGTTCGTCAGCTTAACCCGGACTCTCCACAGCTCGGGACAATACAGGCGTCCCCGCTGCGATCCACTGCTCTCTCATTATTTCTTCAATCTTGTTCTCTAATTAGGCGGCCATTTCTCCAAATAAAAATGCTAATTCTCTTTTCTTTTTTCTTTTTTTGGCTGAAAGGCACCGATGTTCCTATCATAAAATTCACTTGAAAGCCTTCAGAGCACGTGTGTCAAACTCAAGGCCCGCCTTAATTTTTTATGTGGCCCTCTAGACTTCAGAGGGATGCCAAGAACTGCCAAGATAATAGTGTGCTTAAATATTATTTTATCAAAACAGTTTTTATCAACTTACTACCAGGTTACATCAGTCAGTGCCTCCGGTTTCTTGCAATTTTTTGTGGAAATTCACTCAAAATCAAAAGCCCTTTTTTTTTCTTGCGCTAATGCTAATTATTGCAAATGTTTTTGGTCAAAAACGATGAAAAACATGCGATGTTTCGTACAAAACTTTCTTATTTGTACGAAACAGCTGCCTTAACCTTAATTGATGTCAAATTATAGTCCGTGATCTATACGGCGAGGAATACAGCGTTGCATTTACTGTCATACATATGTGAAATTATAGCAAATGTTTCTAAATCAGTACCACAAACATTTGATATTTTATTGAAAATTATCACAAAATCATCAAATTACACCACAAATTTGCTTGATGAAGAGTGACCAAAAAAAAAAAAAAAAAAAAAAATTAGGTTATGAAAGTGAGTGCTTGAATACGTTTTTAAATCATGAGTCACAATCCATGGTTCTAGCTGACAACATGGGCTTTGTATCACAATCAGCAATTATTATAGATGGAACAGTCAAAACATGACGTGCAGCTCCATGAGTAAACATGGCGTCCCTTTGTTTCTTCTTTTGGTCATTGCTCACTTGCACAAGTGCACAGACACAAACCAGTTCTTCCTCCTGACAGGGCGATGGAGGCGTCATGTTTAGGAACAACCACAACCGCGGCGTGTCGGCGAGGAAGTGAGCAAAGGAGCTGTGCAGCCATTTGAGAATGACGAGCGGAGGAGGATGCCGTCCGCCGAGGCACCACAACCATAAGCTGACATCGGCATCATCAAGTCGCCATGGTCAGGAAAGCTACTAGCGATGCAGATTCTGCACTTTTTCATTTATTTCTTTTTCTTTTGAATTGCAGACCTTACAGTTTAATTGGTTCCATGGTTGTAGCATAGCAGCCAATCCTGGAGCTCCATTCACTTTCCTTGGTGTTTATTGGCTGAAATACCAAGAGCAGAGGTAAAGAAGATGGTAGATATTGGCTTCTGCGATAGTGTTAAGACAGGTTCCACTGTGCATATTTATACATATTCAGATAAGTCTGAACTGTTAAAATAAGTGTTTCTAGAGGGTATCTCAAGAATTTGGGTAATTTAGTTATTTCCTTAATAATGTGGCACCATAGAGGAAGAAATAAACAGACTTTCTGCAAAGTGACCCAGTGTAAATCCCTGCATACATCCTTGCTTTTCTCAGAATGTGAATACTTTTGCAAAGCACAAACCAGTGGAAGAAATGCCTTCATCCAGGCCTGAGCGGTGGTGTGACGGTCTTCTTTCGCAATGAAATAACTCAAATGAACCCTACGCCTCAACGATACATTCAAACCCGACGTGTGAAATGGGATTCCACGAGACTTGGATTTGGTTGAGTAAAACAAAACCAAAACAAAACAAAACAAAAAACAAGAATCCAGACAGTTGTTCCATATGGATGCAGCGTGCTTACTAACGTCTACCGATCTCCAACACCCACCGGGAGCGAGAGACGGAGCAGAAAAACATTCAAGGGCAAGTTTCCACCAACCGATCGCTGCTGCATGAAAAATGCTTGCTGCTTAATTCTGAGTCATCATTTCATGTGGGAGGAAGACGAGCCTGCAAACAAACGCCTAACATGTTCAGGGCGAGCAGCAAGCTGCGGCGTGACATCAGATGTTCTCCTTCCTTCCTCCCTGTTTCTGCCACTCTGAGCTTTTCCCTCTGTTTTTCCCCCACCCTCTGTGTTCATGGCCATCAACGTCACTTGTTACGCCGCAAGGAGCAGCGCTGACATCACAGCCGTTATGCAATTCTGTCTCTAACCTCTGAGCGGGTAGAGGGTTTTGGGAGAGGGGGGATAGAGGGGCTTTTTTTAGCAACTGCTCAAAGACAATGTGTCGTTCAAGCCTGCACATCTGTCCTGAGAGAGAGAGTGTGTGTGTGTGTGTGTGTGTGTGTGTGTGTGTGTGTGTGTGCGTGTGTGTGTGTGTGTGTGTGTGTCTGGACTGGAAATAAGCACACATGGATGATTTTGTCTGCTACATTTACCCGGAAGATAGTGAGTAAAAATGTGTTTGATGAAGGGGCCACAGAGGATGGAGGAGAAAACTGCAGCAGCCCCGAGGGCGGCTCGATGATGAACGTCTTGATTCTGACACAGAGAAGATAACCAAGAACAAACTCGGTGTTGGAAACAATAAAAACGAATTTCCCCACCAACACACTTTTTCCATTTTGATATTTTTAAAAATACATTTCTGTATTTTCTAGCCACATAGTGACATTTTATAACACAACAGAAGGGAACCATGTTACCTTCAGTTGATATAAAAATGCTGCAAATGTCAAATATGACCTAGAAGAAATTTGACATTGCAATTTAACACCTTGAAATTGGACCTCTGTCTCTTTAAGAAGCTCCTGCTCTTTCTGAAACTCAGGGAGTCATCACAACATGGCTCCTCTATTAACCCTTTAACAATGTTTTTAACCAGTGCTGCTCTGAAAAGAAGCTCCTAACAAGCTCAGCAGAAGCACAGTTCCACCAGGTGTTTGCTAACTGCTGTTGGCTAGTCTGAAGGAACTGAGTGTGGGAGGGCTGCTCTGTGATGCAGGAGCTGGGAAGCTTGGAAACTGCAGCTCTGAGGAGGAGCTGCGCCTCGAAGGTCCCAACAAGCGTTTTGCACAGCTGAATGGTTGCCGCGGGAGATTAAAGGATTTCTCAAATATGCATGAAAGAATCAAAGCAACACTCATGAGGGAATAACAGTATAACATGACATAAAGCCAAAAGAAAGAAAAAAAGAATACTGCCCCTTTAAATTCTCTCAGAACATCAAGCGGTTGGTAAAAAACAAATTGGCCCTTTCACAGGTCAAAATGTACCTGCGATTAACCACAATTTTAAAATAGGGGACTATAAAATCTAAATTTAAAAAATCTGGTTTGCTGATGCTGTGTAGAATTAATACTCCACATCACATTACATTGTTAACACACTTTTACGTCAAAAACCAACACAGAGAAGCAAATGGTGACAGCTGAGATGTGCAACAGGCTCACCGGGTTGTGACAGTAGAGAACGTGGATGGGAGACGATTGGTGTGGAGGGAAACGTCTGTCATTGAACAGATCATTAAAAAATGTTTTTTTACACACTTACAGCTGTCACTGAGTGGGCAAGTTTGTTATAAAATATCACTGTATCGTCAAAAAGTGACAGCACAGCATTTTTAGCTACAAATCACTTATTTAAGAACCTCTATGAGGTCGAATGATTATCGACAGAATTGATGTTGGGCTGTCATCATTCGGCGCGTCACGGCTAATTAGGTCAACAACTGACAGCGCGGCGTTTCTGCTCCTAATTACTCACACATCCTTTGGTATGGCAATAATCTAAGGTTTGATTATTTGTTCACTTCCTCTGCCAACCGGGAAACCGCTTCTGTCACGGACACGCACCTCCTCTGGGGTTAAAACCACCAAACGAGGTGCAGTGTGCGGTCACACGAGTGAAGTGGTGAGCCTCTCTGGGTTTGGTATCGACATCCAGGAGGTCACAAAGAACCCCAAGCAAACAGATGCAACACTGCAGGCCCTCGCTGCCCTAAGTAAAGGTCGGTGTTAATGAGTCATCTGTACTGCTGATCTGAAACTGCATTGCTGCTTCAGCAACTGTTCACTGATGAAACCAAGAGCTCCAGCATCACATCCCGGAGGAGAGCGTCTGGACGTGAGTTTGTGACTCAGGTTATACAGCATAATAATAATCTAAATCACACCATAAACTCCACCTTTAAATGCCTAAAAATCTTAAAATTAAAAAATTTGGAGTGGCCTAGACAAAGTATTGACTGAAATCCAATAGAGACGGAATGGCGTGACCTTTTAAAGAGGTTAATGTGCATTAACTCTTCAGTGAAAACAGTTCTGCAGAAAAGAGTGGGCTGTGATTTCTCCATAGCAACATAAAAGACTAATTGCCTGTTATAAAAACTTAATAGCAGCTTTTGGACTTAGATGGTAATTATTTTTTTTCCAAATACGGCCAGGTTGATTTGATTTTCTTCCTCAGTAAAATGATTATTTAAAAATTGTATTTTGTATTTACTCAGGTTAAATTACTTGTTTCAAGTAAATAATTCCTTGATATTGATTAAAAAGGACTAGTTCCACTGGGAGATTATTTTACTTATAACATGGGGAAATTGTCTTATAAGTAAATCGGTCTCCCAATGGAACTACAGCTTTTTCACTAATTTTAAGGAATTATTTACTAAAAACAAGCTCCTACATCTTGCTAAAAGATCCCTGTAATTTAGTTTTGTCTTATTTAAAGTGTAATAAGATATTTGCACAAGTAGAATGAAATTATTTGGTAAGACTTTTCTTCATTTCTTTCCATTTCCCAAAACAAAAAGTAGGTACAAGTTAGTCTTGGTGCTGATAGAACTGCTTCGTAATGTGAACGTATCAAACTATGTTGCCTCTATCATGAAACCAATGCATGATTTAAATCA